GCGCGGGAGGCGGCGGGCTGCATCGGCAGTCTGAGCGGAGCGGCTCCGGAGAGCCCAGAGCCCCACACGCCGCCCGGCTGTAACCAGTCGCTGCCCCAGGCTCCCCGGGGTGCCCAAGGTGTTTTAATTATTGTTGTAATTCTGACCGGGAATTTTGGTGCTCCACAGGGGAGGGGAGCTGTGTGGTGCATTGTTCTCTGGGAACAAATTTGTGTCCCTGGAAAAGGCAGCCGGTAAGGAAAAGCCAAATAAATATTTGTGTTGATAGAGGTTTAATCATTTATTTTCCTCTGAGGCAATAGAGATTGAAGGTCTACCATGGTGCCTCTCATCAGATTGCCTGTACCCAAACGTTTGGCACAAACTCAGCTCCCGCCAAGTCAGCTGCCATGTTTCTGTCCACTCCAAACCCGCTCATTAAACCCAACACGATGTGCTGGGGCCAGGTCCCTGGCACACCATCAGTCCAGTTTTTTGTTTAAAAGATTGCAGCACGCAGGTCTCGATCATGTATCTTAATAAATAGATGCCAGGGTGGTAACAGGCGGGTTGAGGAACCTGAGGTGGCACAAAAGTCTTTGTGTTTCCCCACAAAGATCCTCCTTTCTTCATGGATTTGCAGTGTTGTGCTGTCTCAGACTTTCACCTTTTTATCTGGTTTATTGCAGGCAGCAGCAGCACTGTGTCTTCAGTGCAACAACACATCAGCAACAGGAGGACTCTCCACTAAACGAGGATTTTGTTCATCCCTAAAGCTTTTTGTAGGGTGGGGTATAATTTCCTCATTTTCCCTCCTTCCCTTCCTACTGGCTAGGGTCTGGTGTGATGCCAGTTGCCTAAGGATGGGGAATAGGAAAGTGGTCCCTTGGCCTGTTCAGCTGTGCTTGCAGTGCAGGATTATGTGCATTTTAAGAGGGTATTTTTAATGGAAAAAGGAGACTGTAATACAATTGTAATGCCTTTTGCACTGCTTTTCTTCCTTTGGTATTGGAGGCTCAGAGGTTGTTAAAATCTCAAGTGGTTTTTAATTAATTTTATTGTAATTATTTTTTGGACTGATCTAAGGCATGATGTGAAGGCACGTTTTCTCATTCCATAATTGCTAGGGTTCTTAAACAGAAACAAAATATATCCTGACGCTATCAGAAACAGCTGATTTTATAGAAATATTTTTATTAAATACTAACAGAAGTGAATACATCATATTGTCACTCCAAACCCCAAATAAAATAATTCTAAAATTACAATGTTTTCTTTCTCACTTCTCCCATCTTGCCTATAGACAAGATTCATGCAAGCAAATTAGGTTGACCTGAACTATCCATTTAGAAGCTGAAAAAAGCTATTTGCAGATATTTTGTCTAAATTATCCTGTCCTCTGTTAGAAGCCTCAGATTTTGATTACCCTTCTTTTATCCTCTTTATGCAAGCATACTTTTTACAGGTGTTACTTGCACATCTTCAGCGTTTATTAGGTATTCCAAATACCAGCAAGAACCTGAAAACAAATACAGCTTTTTAGTCTGATCTCAAGATACATGACTAAGGAGTTGTAGCCTTCTCAAAAGGACTGTTTTGTTGGCTTTCTGTCACATAAAGATGGAGAAGCTGAGACGTTGTATAGTCTTTCCATTACTCATTCTGTCTGCCACTCTGCTGACTTCTGTTACAAAAATACAGGCTGCCTTTAACTTTCTTACCAGAATAAATTCCACTAATGATAAATCGTTTAAAATGTTCCCAGTGCCAGACTCGTGTCTGACCCACAATTCTCACAAGGGAATGAGATCTCTTTTCCTAATAACCTGTTAATCCCTCTCTAGCCAAACTGGTTCATCAGAGAGTAATGCAGTAGATACTCTCCTTTTAGTCTTGCAGGTCAGGTAACCAAGAGTTGGAAGCAGAACCTGGGTTTAAATCCACATGTGATGGCATTCTGAGAAGGTCCTGTAGTTCAAGGACTTTTAAAAGTCCTCTTACAGTCATTTACTCATTTATTGCCACCCCAACACTATCTTTGTTTGCATTTCCCTGTAGGAATTGATACTTCATTGCCTTTTTCACAATGAAGGCCATGGAGGATCAAGTAGTCCAGGAAGAACCAGGATACCAGGATGATGAGGTAAATTTATGGTTGATTGAAAAAACTATGCAGCAAATGTTGCTTGAAGGTTTTTTGATACTGTTATGAAATCCACAAAGAGAGAGGAGGTCCCCAAAGGCCTCCAGGGAGTTCAATGCATTTAAAATTTAATTCCAGTCTAATATAAAGAAAATCTAATTCTCTTGTTCCCTCTTTATGAAGTAGGTGACAGGAAATGTGTAGGCCTTCTTGGCTCACTATGACTTTGCTTATTTGAGTAGTCCAACAAGTTATATATTATTAGGGAAAATCATTTAAATGTTTACTGATTCAAAACAGACACATAGTGAGATGGAATTACAAGAAAAAGCAAATTCTAATATTTTTTTCTACTGTTTTTTTTTAGGAATCCTTTTTTCAAGATATTGACCTGCTACAGAAACATGGAATTGTAAGTCTTAGCAATGACTTTACTGCACAGAATTATCCATTGAAAGTTGTAGTAAGTTTATTTCCAAAAGCATCTACACATTGAAACAAAAAACCTGAAATTCCTCCTTGCAATAAATTCAAAATCAGTCATGTGAAGACAAATATTCCCTTTGGTGATAAGACAAGTTTTCAGAAAATTTTATCAAGTTCCTAAATAAAGTGGCAAGATATTCAAAGTATTTAGCACCCAGTACTCTTGAAAGACCAACTATGTGCTAATTTATTTGAAAACTGTGATAGATTACTTCCTATTCCTGCCAATCTTTGTAATTACTCCTGCATTTTTGATGCCTGTGAAATTACACTGTGACAATTGTTGCTATACTATTTCCAGCATGCTGGTGAAGGGGAGTAGAGTGGGAGTCAGGAAAATATTAGTAGCTAGAGAAATAAGGGGTTATGAATCCCTATAATTGTTATCATTATGATTATCACATAAACATCACCTATCTATTTGAATTATTATTATTATATGTTTATCCAGGGGACTGGCTCATGGAGAATCCTGTTATATTCAGTGTTCTAGAAGCAGAATGAAAAGTTGTGTTTGCCCAAAGTAATCTAAGATTTAACTTACTTAATATAAATAACTACAGACAGGTGCAGATGGGGAGGACACAGACACAATGGGACAGCATTAATCAGCACTAGAGACACTGGGCTCAGCATGTCCACGTTGGGTTTGGTAGGAATTAAGGTGCTGTGACCCCTCAGCCTTTGCTGAGTGTTCCTGCCCCTGGAACATGTTATTCTTTCTTCTGGCAAATCTGTTTTTTGTAGACAAACTGGATTTGTAAATCAATTAGTCCAAAAATTATCACACCAAAAAATATGGCTTAGTTTTTTTTTTGATTGGTAAACAATCAAAATCCCACCTCAGAGGCACACAAGGAGGACAGGGCTGCAACATGAGGTGGAGGATCAGGATAAGCAGGTGGTGTAATGGGGTAGGTGTGTCAGTATGGTAAGCCAGGAGTACTGTGGAGCACATTCTAGTATGGAACTCTGTTCTAAGGAGGAGTGTATCCTAGGGCCTTGGTTGGCACATAAGCTGTTGGTGAAAGGAGAGAGCAAGAAATTCTATGATCAGGTCTACCACACAGAGACTTGTAATGCAAAACAAAAAAAAATCCCAGGTCAATAATAAAATCACAGAATGGTTTGAGTTGGAAGGGACCTTAAAGTTCATCTAGTTCCAACTCCCCTGACATGGGCAGGGACACCTCCCACTGGCCCAGGCTGCTCAAAGTCACAACCAACCTGCCCTTGAACACTTGCAGAGAGGGGGCATCCACAGCTTCTCTAGGCAGCCTGTTCCAGTGTCTTACCACCCTCACAGTAAAGAATTTCTTCTTAATAGATAAACTAAATCCACCCTCTTTCAGTCTGAAACTGTTATCCCTTGTCCTATCCCTACACTCCCTGACAGAGTTCCTCCCCATCTTTCCTGTATGCCTCCTTTAGGCACTGAAAGGCTCCCATGAGATCTGTCCAGAGCCTTCTCTTCTCCAGGCCAAACACCCCAACTCTCTCAGCCTGTCCTCATTGGGGAGGTCCTCCAGCCCTCTGATCATCTTTGTGGCTGTCCTCTGGTTACTTTCTTTTGGGTGGAAGGGTCATTTTTATTCATGACTGACTTTACCTCACTCATCTCTATTAATATGATAACCAAAAAACATATCACAGGATGAGAAACAAGCTTCCAAATGAACATGACTAATTTCTTGCATAACCCCCCTCCTTTCTTATGTCCTATGCACCCACACACTCTAGATAAATAGATGATACATCCAGTTCATATTTTTCAAAGAAAAGTCTTGGCCAGAAGTGGTAAATTGAAGTATTATCCCACACTTTTCACATAGCATGTTTTCTTGTGAGTGATCTGTAACTTGCCTTTAGGTTTCCAGTGATGTCAGAATAATATGAGGTGAGAAGAGACAAAATGTGTCAGTAGGGTGCTGACTGAAGTTGTGCTGTACCCAATTTATGAAAAACTCTAGTAGTTCATTCCAGCCCAAAGTGTTGGTCAGATCTGGAGAAGCATGAACATGCAGAAGCAGCACAGCAGTTCCTGATGATCCTTTGAGTCAGCTCCCAATTATCCACAATTTGATGATTGAGTCGATTACCAACTCTTTGTTGGTGTCACAGACTATATAACAAAGAGTTTACCATAAATCTCTTCCTTTCTTGATGAAAATACACCAGCATATGAATATATGATAAGCTGCAAAGGTTTCATTCTCCTAGTTCTTGTCATGAGTACTCACAGAAGGGAACTTTCTTCACAGAATGTAGCAGATATTAAAAAGCTGAAGTCAGTTGGGATCTGCACGATCAAAGGAATCCAGATGACCACGAGACGGGCACTGTGCAACGTAAAAGGGCTTTCAGAGGCCAAAGTGGACAAGATTAAAGAAGCTGCAAACAAGCTTATTGTAAGCCAGTCACTTTCCTGATAGCTTAAACTTAGGCTGGCCTTTCCAAAATGCTGTGCAATGTTTCTCTTAGCAGTTTTTTTTCACCACATTATCAAGGTAATTTTGAAAAGGATTCTGTTTGTTACTCTAAAGGGACAATACGCTCTACAACAACCAGACAAATGCTGTGGTGCTTTTTGTATCCAATCTGTGTAAACAAGGCTGGATTAGAGAGAAGATATTTGTGGAATATTGCACTTCAGGTTAAAGCTAAAATAAACCTCTCGTGTTCTCTTTGGTCTTCCTTAGGAACCAGGCTTCCTGACTGCCTTTGAGTACAGTGAAAAACGGAAGATGGTATTTCATATTACTACTGGCAGCCAGGAATTTGAGTAAGCTTCTCTCTACTTAAATTCTTCCTTAGTCCAAACTGTTCCAATAATCCTATTTATTGTCTTTAATGAGACACAGAAATATAAAGGAATAAATACTCAGCTAGGACATGTAGGTTAGCTTGCATTTGGAGCTAGTGCTGGCTCAAAGATGCCAGCGTCAGTAAGCAACAAACCCAGCCCCTTTTCTGAGGGGAGAGTGGACTTTTTTTATGGTCATTGTAAATAAAAGAGAGTTTGCATCCAGAAATCCTGAAGGTACCAGCATACCTTGAGGTATTTGCACGGAATGTTATTTTTCCAAAGGTATTTTCTCTTTTCTTTCTTTCCAGTAATAATTTGTATACATCTTGCTCTTGGACAGAGAAAGGGAGGTTAAGACAGAGTTCATTCTTTATGAATCAGTGATCACTTAGTGCCCTGCACTTAGTGCATCAAGTGAGGAGCTTTAGGGCAGAAGTAACTTTTCTTGAAGTAGGAAAAATGTATCTGTTTTTAATTTCCTTTTGTGATATTGTGGGTTTAATTACATCATAATCCTCTCCCTTCCTCCAGTAAACTTCTGGGTGGTGGGATTGAAAGCATGGCAATCACTGAGGCCTTTGGAGGTGAGAAAACCACATTGAATGAGTATTACCAAAGAACAGCAACTTATTTTAGATTTTAAATCGAGCTGCATTATTTCTATCAAACTTATCACACTGTAGTCATGAAGATGAGTACTATCATGAGTGTAAGAAGAAAGAATCCCCTTCTCTTAGTGTTTTTCCATTTTTCCTCTTCATTTGCTTGCAGACTACATTTGAGCTGTGTAATCATTAGACTTGGGACATGCTGTTTATTTATACTATTACTAACATGTCACGTAGGAAAGATTTCCCATATGCAGTCTGTGTTCCTTTCCAGTAACAAAACTGCCACAAAAGATGTTTTATTCCTGCACACTTAGGATATGTGACATGTCATATCAGATTTTGAGATTACAATTCAGCTACTTCTACAGTAAATTTGTTCAGTTGGTGTTTAACACTTCGACCACAATACTAGGTCCTAAAACACAGTATTCTAACTGAGTCATTCTAACTGCAGTAACTCCTGAATCTGGCAAACTCAGGAAAAGAAACCCTGACCTTTTTTTTTCCCCTTTTTCTTTATTTAACAGAGTTTCGGACAGGCAAAACCCAGATATCTCACACACTTTGTGGTAGGTGTAACACATTAAAAGAGAGGGACATTTCTTCTCTGTGAATCCATTCTTTACAACTATATCAGAATGAAACACACAAGAGATAAGTCAGAATCTTTTCTCTAGAAATACAATGAAACAGACCTTGGTGACTCTCACCTCCATTGACTATGTTTGAGTAGGGAATTCATGTAAATGCTTATTTTTTAATACTTCTCATGTCAATCTAACTATTGCCATAAGGAGAGAGGAGATAATAGACTTGTCGTAGAGAAACCAGTGAAAAACACCATCTGGAAAAGCAGAGCAAAAATATGGGTTACAGGGGGACAGAGGCATTGCTCAGAAAAGGGGAAAAGCAAGATTCTTTCTCAGCAACACTTAATTTCCTGGTTTCAAGAAGTTTTGCTGAGTGTGACATTCTGAAAGGGCACCAAGAGGATACTCCTGGCTGTTTATCCAGTCACTGGATAAACAAACATTTTGGCAGTCACCATATTCAGGCAGTGCCAAATACAGCAGGACTCTGATTTCCCTGTGATATCTCTCAATGTGTAAATGGTAGTAAATAATAACTAATATGACTACTAATGCTGCTGAAATATAATTACCAGACACTGAGTAGGCTAATGGACCCTTAAATGAACCCTATATTATAATTAGGTGCAATTCTGGCACCTTCTGGAAAAATAAGGGCCTCTCCTCCATTTAGTGCAGACTAACGGTCAGCAGACCCATACCCTTTTGCATGAATGATTACAACTGAGCTGAGTATTTTAGCTTATTCACTCCAAAAAGACTAAATCCACAGTCAATAACAATTTGCATATCAGGAAAAACTGATATCAAAAGGATTTTTCATCATGTGAGTTACAGCTGAGAAAAAGAACCCGACCCTATTAAATCAATATCATTAATTTGAGCAAAGGGTTAAGAGGATGCTGTATGCCTAAGAACTTGTTAATAATATCCTTACCTATTTTCAATATCAAATATACAGATATATGTGATGGTACTGAGTAAAATAGAAATAAATCTGATTGATCTCCCATCAAAAAAAGTGGCTTGAGTTTCTTCTCAAGATGGCAGTAAGGCTTGAGATGTTCCTCATTTCTGCACTGATTAAAACTGGTGGTTCTTTGTGATAAGGGTCAACGGTCGTGTTTTATTGAAAAATAATAATAGAGGGAGTAAGGAAATATTTTTCATTTTGATCTTTTATGATTCACTGTAGTGACAGCTCAGCTTCCAGGACCAAACGGCTACACCGGTGGAAAGATTATCTTCATTGATACTGAAAACACTTTGTATCTTTTGGACTGATGAAAGCTGCAGGTACAAGGAGCTGGAAAGACAGTTTATTTTGTTATAAGCAAGTAGGAGGCTCCAGATAGCTTCATACATGTAAAACATTATGAGTGATGTGGAAGGCCTGGCGAGCACAGTGCGTAGCAGCCCACAGGGCAGTGAGTGGCTTCTTGATCTGTCATTTGATGTAATCCAGCCTGGAAAAATCAGAGTTAGGATACAGATTTTGACTGGGTTTTTTTTGAGATCTCATATACCTTCTTGATAATGATACAGGTGGTAGAAGCTTTTCTGTTTACTTCAAGAGAAATTCATCCAAGCACTGAATGCTATTTTTAACACTTCGTATCTGTGGTAGACTGTGTATAAATAGGTTTTGTTCACAGCAAGATTCCTAGAGCACAGATATCCATATGTCAACCCTAAACACAAACCAATTATCATCCTGAGCCCTCAACTATCTTTAGGGTACGTGGGACAGCGTGAAGAGAAAAAGTTTGTCTTTTCTAGGATGAAATGAAATATTCTCCTTTGTTTTTCCATCGTTCTGTTTCGGAATGGAGTTTTGGTATTTTCAGAGCCTGTTTTGTACAAAGAGACAGCCTTAACCCTGACTCCTATCAGCCGACCAGACCGTCTCCGTGACATTGCCGATCGCTTCAATGTCGACCACGACGCTGTGCTTGACAACGTGCTGTATGCACGGGCATACACCAGTAAGACCATCACTGCAACTGGTGTAACAGCTATGTTTTTTTCCTCCAAGGCTCCCGTTTTAATAGCTCTCATTTTATTAACTGAGATTGCCTGCTGAGGATCTTAATGATTTGCTGCTCACAGAAGAGGTTGTAAGCTTGCTTCCATTTTCTGGTGGTGTGCACTGAGCAGACTTGCTCAGTTGTGGCAAACTGCAAAACTTTCTTGTTTATGTAGCACAGCTGAGCTGGAATACTTACACTGAGCAAGTCTGCTCAGTTTGCCACAACATGAAATGAACTCTGCTACGTATACAAAAGTCAGTGTCACATCTGAGTAAGAGAAGCACCAATGAATGGAACCATGGTTGCCTGAATGCAAGCTAATTCTATAAATGCTGTTGAGACATTCTCAAGGATCTTGTTGCATGCAACTTTATAGGGACAGCTCCAACATACTCTGTCAGAAGGCATTGCATTAAAGCTGGAGGAAGTTTTACATGGGACTTTGACTTTGAGAGTACAATATGAACATGGATAATTTTATTAATACAATTTCTGTGCGTCATTTAATTCAACATTAAATTCAAGTGTTTATATTGCTTCTCAGTTCTTCACACAACAATAAAAAACGTTGTCTTCATGCCTAGTTTTGTTGTGAAGCTTTTCACAAAGAAATTTTGTTAGCTGGGGAAGTAGAAATCGGAATCTGCAGAAGCACTGGCACTGCTGGGTATTGTAGAGGTAGCTTCTTACCAGGCACTGGATTTAAAACTGCTGCTGGTGAAAATATAAACAGTGCAGACAAAGCAGAATTTTAAAATTCAAGCTTTTGTGCTTCAGAGCTCTTTCCTGTCCTAATTTCACTTGGCAACTGTACTCACCAGGTGAGCATCAGATGGAGTTGCTTGACTATGTCGCAGCCAAGTTCCACGAGGAAGCTGGTATCTTCAAGCTATTGGTACAAAACTCATTCTGTTTTGTATGCTTCCTGCTTTCTTTTCCCATTTTCTCTCACTACATTTACTTATCTAGCATAATTACAATGCAGATCATTGACTCCATCATGGCACTTTTCCGTGTGGATTTCAGTGGTCGTGGAGAGCTGGCCGAACGACAACAGAAATTGGCTCAGATGCTGTCAAGGCTCCAAAAAATATCAGAAGGTAAGGGAAATATTGCAAAATTTTGAAAACGTGGAGTGGAGTTTCTGAAACAGGAGCTGTTGGTAGCATGACCACCTCCTAGTCTGAGTGTTTCATCAGTCAGGCGTCAGCCCAGGAATCCTCCCTCACTTTCCAGCTCTGTCAGTTGCCAGAAAGATCAAACTGATAATGTATTATTTCAGGATGACAGATTAAGGAGTCATTAGAGCTATTCAACATTTAGAGTTTTCCTAGAAATACTCTTCAGAGAAGTCCTAAATGAGAGAACAGGCTGTAGAACTGGACAAATATCCCATAAGAGAAATAGTATTCCCCAAATTTTGCCAGTGTAATTACACCAGAAACGTGAAGAATAGAAAGAAGGATGAAGGCACGGAGAGATAAAGAAGCTGTGCCCATTGCCACGTTCCCAGTGCTTTGCAATGATCTGAGGGAGGATGACAAGATGAACAGGGTTTGTCCTTTGGAATGTCTCAGAAATGTTGATGAGGAATGAGTAAATGTTGTTTTCATGCAGCAGATTTAAAAAAAAAAAAAGAAAAAGGCAAACAAAGGGAGGGGAGGGAGGCTGAGGGCAGGGAGCCAAGAGCAGGGAACTGAGAAAGACTTGTTCAGTGGAATTCTGAAAGCTCTCATTTTTGGTGTATTACAGCTGAAGACACACAGAAGCAAATTTAGGCTGTCTCCTGATTAACTTCAGCCATCAGATAGAGAGAATATTTAGTTCTCTTTCATTTGAAAAAGTGCTTCAGCAGCAGCCCTGCTTTTACCATGGCTAGGAGAATATTTTGGAATTCTCTTTGGATCTAATCCAGTCCTGCTGCGTGTTGTTTTCTATTGCAGAATATAACGTGGCTGTGTTTGTAACCAACCAGATGACTGCTGATCCAGGAGCAACTATGACGTGAGATACTTTTTCTCTCTTAAAAAAATCTTCTCTTTTACATTAGCTATTTTAACAGGGATGAGAACTGAGATTGCAGGCACCAAAATGAAGGTTCAGCTTGGTCATTGGTCCCTCTGGTATGATGAGTCATTCCTGGATGATAACTGTAGGTTTCTTTCAGTTTTCCTAATGAGTTTTTTAATGTTTATCTGCTGCCTGGCACGATGGCTTCTCTCACTGTGACCTGAATGAAAAGAACAAGGCATAAAAAGTATTGAAACAGCACTCCATTTTCTTTTGGAGCAGCTTATATAGGAAGTTTAAAATGTGTATTTCTTGAGCCTCTCGAATTTAATGAGAGGAAAATTATGCCAGCATTGAACATGTGAGGTAAGCATGTTGAAGTCCTTTTTTTGATATACTTACATATTTATTATTCATTATCAAATCAAATACACCTGACAGTTATTGACAATATTAACCTATGGAATTTGGACAGTGAATCATCACAACATTCTTGCTAATTTAGCTTTCAGGCAGACCCAAAAAAGCCCATTGGGGGCCACATCCTTGCTCATGCTTCAACGACCAGGATTAGTTTGAGGAAAGGGAGAGGGGAACTGCGTATTGCAAAGATATATGACAGGTAAATCCCCTTCCCCCCCCCCCAGGAAGGAAGCTGTGTTCTGAGCAACTGTAAGGTGTCAAAGTTCATGGTGCTGAACAGAATAGCTCCAACAGCTGAGTCATGGTTTCAAACTGACCCTGTTTCTGGGATGCTAAGTTGAAAGAAAATCTTAAAATAGACTAATGAACAGACTTAGAGTTGACTTGCCTCTTGCACACATTAAACTCCGTAATCTTTCATCATAAATCCTACTAGATGTTCATGTCTTAGAGAAGACCACGAAAGAGTTTGGTGGTCCCTTGGCAGGAAAATTCCAGAGCTGTAAAATTACTCAGTTTTGCTGACATAATTAGTATCACTTTACCTGGTGAGCTGTGGCAGACTCAAGTCGTTAAAAATTCCACTAAGTGGCACTGCACAGAGAGACCAGAGCTTCTGATCAGGAAATAAGGAATTGAAATGAGAGTTTGCAGAGACAGACTCTTCCTCCTCTTGTGCATCCTCCGTTTCCTTTCCTTGTCTTTGTCATCTTCCAAGAGGTGAATTTCACATTTTCTGATCTTGCTAATATCGATTGCATCCTACAGTTGGCACATAGGTATAAAGATGTTGAAATATTCCAGGTTGCTTACACTTAAAACACTTTGGGGACTGCTTCACAGCTGCATTTAACATGGGGAAACCCACAAGTTTCTTATTTCTTTTTTTTTTTCCCCAGCCCTGAGATGCCTGAAAACGAAGCTACGTTTGCAATAACTTCTGGAGGGATCGGGGATGCCAAAGAATAGGCAGAAAAATGATGTAAGTGTACAGCTGAAAACCACCTGAGCAGTTGGGATAAAGATTTGAGCAGGGTCACCAGCTGCCTGGCTGCGTTTTTATCATTTGGGAACCATTAGAGGTATTTTGGGAGAACGTTGGGATCAACTCTGTACAGTTCCGTTTTACTGATTTTGATAGAAATTGGTTCATTTAGGGCCTTCATTTTTTCAGTTGACCTTTCGGCAGCTAAAGATTTAAGAAATAAGCTTGTGAATTGTTCAAATAATCCTTTTTGCTGCATTTTGTGAAAATCAAAGCTGTCCTTTCACATGAGATTAATATTCTCTTTTAGTTTCTTTCAAAGCGAGTGTCTGTGTGGTATGAAATGGAACAGAATTCAAACAGGCTCAGTTATAAAATTGACATAAAGAGACAGAAAAGGCAGAGACAGAACCAACAGCCTGGGAACTTGATGGATTCTCATGTAGTGTAGAGGAACAAGTTACTTAAAAAATATGGTTTTAGGCATTTTTATCTTGACTAGTTAATTTTTGTATTTAGCATTTTCTACTTTTTCAAGAGGATATTTTAAAACTGTTCTTATTAAAGTTAAAAATAAAGACTATGAGTTAGAACAGTACTCTGCTTATGTCTGGGTGCTGTGGCTCAAACCTTGCTCTCAATAATCTCACTAATCTTTCATGAGATAAATAAACGGGGTGCAACCGAACAAGCTAAAACCTTTTATCAAGATCTCTAGAGAAACTCAAACTTTACAGAATTGCCTTGTCAGCCTCCTAATGTAAGGATATTAAAATATTATTGATACTAAATATTATTAAAAATAATAAGCAGAGGAAAACAATACCAATGGCTAGATGAAGGAAGAGAGGCTGACACAGGTACTTACACCGAGGGAAAGGTGTCTGGTTAGAAAGCTTGTCCTCACTGATTCAAGAATTTTTGCATTTAAATTAACGAATGCATGTAAGATAACATGAAGCAAAAAAGCAGCAACGACCAGAAATTCATCCAAGAAAAGCCTAACACTGTAGCCAGGGTTTACCTCGTGACAGAGCTAGAGTTTGCCTTCCTCAGGTGGTTTCTTAACTGATCTTTGATACTTTTCCTGGGGGAAAGCACTGTTTTTCAGAGTGAAGTCTAGAGAGGCAAAGCTTGGCTGATCTGAGTGAGCCAGGAAAGGGTCAGCCATTGTCATTTCATGTAACATCTAGTTCTTCACATGTGCCAGTGTTTCATGGCAGACTATGAGAGCCAGTGAGAGCTAATGGTGTCACTTGACTCCCTCCCATGCACTTAGAAAGGCCCGAGTTTCTTCCAGTATTTTAAGCACCAGGCCAGGATTGCTTTTTGCTGTCTCACATATGCCCTACGCACATTACATACCTAAAGTAAAACTAAAACTGCAAACAGTTTCTCTCAGGCTAATTTGTTTCCAGGCTCAGAAAGTCAAGGGGTCTTTTAGATGGGAGTCTCTGGCTGATGTGGGGAGTCAAACAGGAGCAGGCCAGAAACGTGTCTATGCTGTGCCTGGCATCCTTCACATCATTGTCTTGATCACTTGCTGTAACACCACAGTGGGTGAAGAGGCGAATTCGTTTATTCTCATGAAGAGACTGCCGTGAACCTCATCATACATGACCGGGGGTCACCCCACGAACCTCGCGTGGGGCCCCTGTGCCGTTTGCTCCCGGCACTCGGGTGAAGGGACACATCATGGCTGCTGCTACTCCTGCCCCAGCGCCAACATCCCTCTAGTGATCTGCCAGGGGGGTAACAGCGGAGGAAGACCCTCCGAACACCCGGACCGGGCCACCTCGCCGGCGAAAGCCCGAGGGGCCGCACCCCGCCCTCCCATCATTGTCTCCTCGCTGCCGCCGCCTCCCTCCACGGGCCCAACGGGCGCCGCGGCGAGAGACCGTATTCTCCAAACCCGACTACGCTGCAAAACTAACGTAATCCCTCCAGCGTCCAACGACCGCGCCGGCAAAACCCGCCGGAGAATTTTACGCCAAACGCACGGGCTCTTCCTGCGCTACGTCAGCCCGAGTTACGCAACTTGCGTACGCCGAGTACTTACGTAACGTACGCCTCGGCCTACGTTCTCCCTACCGTGCAGAAGGGGTTAGGGGGTTGGCTCCTTGCGTAGCAGACTTTGAGGAATAGGCAGAGCGTAACTCTCCTCCCTCCCTTCCTTCCTCACGTGGGGGCCCGGCTCAAGGGAAGATCGCTACGCAGCTTTCGTAGCCCGCCTGCCGCGCAGAGCAGTTTCGCCCGGCGCGCTTCTGGCGTAGTTGGCTTCCGAGAATAGGCGTAGGTATTTTCAAGGGCCGCAGTTTGCGCAGCGCCGGGCCGCCCGTAACGTAACTGAAGCGGGTTGGGGCGGCGGCGGCCATTTTGTGCCGGGAACCCGGAGGAA